GCAATGGATGTCCAGTGGTGGGGCATGGCACATGCAGGCCAAGAGGACCCACCTAGTGGAAAAGATAGACTGAGAGCAGAGGAGTTTGAGAGGAATGTTGGGGTAACATGGTAGGCTACAGGCTCACTCTAAGGCCCCCTTTCCAATTTAGAGACCTTAAACCCAGTATGTGCAACCCCCGGCATGTGTGCCACAGCATGGCACATGAGACCATTTTCCTTGACACACCACAGCTGACCCGGACTCTGGGCAGCTTCTGTCAGTGCAACCCTGGTTCCCCCACCACCATCCACCCAGAGGCACGTAGTATGTGGGTGCCACCACCGTGGAGCTGGTGCCAGGGCTGCAGAGCCTTGCACAACTGTTTGAAGCCTTCCAGCTACCTGCTACAGCTGCCCAGAGCCTGAGCCAGCTGTGGAAGGCAGCTGGGAAGCTATGAACAGCTGCGCTGGGCTCTGGAGTCCCAGCACTGGCTCTGTGGTGGTGGTAGGTGCACGCATGGCTTGCAGTGCATGGTGGGGCAGGGGCTGGGGCAGTGCAACCCCAGTCTCTCCCCCACTGTTCACCTGGAGGCATGTGTGCAGCCACCACCAGCAATGAGAATCGGGTCCCTTGTGGTTCCTCCATCTCTGGCACCCCAAGTTGAAGAGTGAGTGGAGGTTGGGGTGATTTTGGCACTCCGGCTACAAACATTACTGACCTCTGCCTTAGAGGGGGTCAGAAGCCAAGTTGCCACCAGAGGGCATGATAGCCACCTCTGGGGTGCTGGACTTGTTACAGTCCCTATGTGGATACTTATTCCAGAATAAGAAAAGCTTTTTCCATTTTAGTTTAAATCCCTGTTAGAGAATCAAGTATAATTTTTTCTATTTGGAGAAACACTAAGAGAAATACAAAAAGTCAGCACAAAACATAAAACAAATGTAAATGGGGATTAAAGTATTATTTTGCCTCTAATTATCTAAGGGTATAGACAAATAACTGTTATAAGAAGGATTAAAAGAGACAAAAAATTGTCACTTGGCTAAATAGGATTTATAGTTCATTATACAATGACCGGGCCTAACAGCACTATATTCATAGACTTTTCAAAGATTGTAAGGCTGGAAGGGACCTTGGAAGATCATAATGTCCAGCCCCCTGCACCAAGCAAGAAAGATAACTGGGGGTCAGGTGACCCCAACAAGGTGACTGTCTACTTTAGTCTCCTCTTGAAGATTTCTAGGGTAGGTGATTGTACCACCTCTGGAGGGAGCTAATGTTGAGCCTGAATCAATCTTCTAGGAGTTTGTGGCCATTACTCCTGGTTTTCCCCTTGGGTGCTCTGGTGAACAGCTGCTCACTGAGCCCTTGATGTACTCCCCTAGTGTAGTGGTAAGCTGCTACCAGGTCCCCTCTCAGCCTTCTTTTCCTCAGGCTGAAGAGTCCCAGATCCATCAGCCTTTCTTCGTATAGCTTGCTGTGTGTCGCCCGGGTACACCCGGGGGGTATGCCTTGTCCTCTGATGACAGTGGTGGTGGTCAGGCAGAGTGCTGAGGAAAGGGTCAGCTACTAGAGCGGCTTCCTCCCCTCTCTATAGAGCTAGGCCGAAACCAAATACTTAACTATGTACAATTTATTACAAGAATAAATATAGACACTAATATAAAACATAGAATATTTACAAGGCTTAACATATAATACTATATATAATATTCCACAATTCACATATGCCAAATATGAACCAAATAACTTACAACCTATACAACACAATTAACACATAGGGATATTAACCTATATAACCCAAGTAAATTCACAATAATATTTCTTTAAACCTTCACAAATAATGATACCAATATATACAGTGAGGCATTAAAACACATAAACTATATACATCTCCTTAAAGAATACCCCTAGCTATATAGCCCTTAACACAACAGCAACCTCAAAATAGGGAGTGCACTCAGCACCTCCCCAAGGGGTTTCCCTGAAGCCCCTCCCCTTTAGGGCCCTAGGATGTGGACATGCCCCTCCCACAATGGAGGGTGGAGGTGGCAGACCCTCCTCACCCATGTCAGCCTCCTCTGCAGGGGCCGCTTCCCCAGTAACTCATGCTTCCTCTGTGGAGAAGACAAGGCTTGTCCCCTGGTGACTGATCCTGCAAGAGCCTCTCCCCAGTGGTGCCTTCAGCTCTCCTCAATGGCCCGGTGCCCCACACTGGGCAGCCCAGGGCTCTTTCTCTCTCATGGGGGCCAAGCCCTTGCAGGCTCTGACTCCCCAGTCTCACACTGGGGGTTCTTTACTTTCCCGGGCCCTGCTCTGGGCACCAGGGCTCTTTTAGTTAAAGGTGGAGCTGCACTGCAGGGCTCCGGTCACTCAGCCTAGTGATGGGGGCTAATGTGAGCAGCTGCAAGCTGCTTCCAAAGCGGTTTCTCCATGCACCGACCTGCACACTGGGTGAGGCCCAAGCAGCCACGAGCTGCTCCCAGGGCAGATTCTCCATGCGCTGACCTGCGCACCGGGTGAGGCCTGAGCAGCCGCGAGCTGCACCCAGGGCGGACTCTTCGTGTGCCGACCCGCACACTATGTGGAGCCTGAGCAGCCTCGAGCTGCTTCTGGGGCCAGCTCCTCACGTGCCGACCCATGCACCGCTGAAGTTCAGGCGGGGTCCCGAGGATGGATGTCTCTGGAACTCTCTCTCCTCACTGTCCCTCGTCGTCTCTCCCCAGCTTGCCGAGCACGCTCCCCTTTTATACTCTTCAGGGGCTCCACCCCCCAAGTTCTCTGGACCTGGCTGCCGCAGTTCTGATTCAGGTCCAGCTGCTCTTTCCCCCCTCCATTTGGAAAAGGGCATGGTAGTGCTTCTTTTTGCTGTCTCTGGACTGGTGGATGAGCTCCACCAATCAAACAGCAGATCCTCGAGCCTGGGACTCTACCCAAGCCCTGAAAAGGTAAGCCTGATACATGTGTAAGACTCTGATCATACAGGTGGCTCTTTTTTGGACTCTCTCAAACTTGTCCATGTCCTTGTTAAAGCGCGGTGCTCAGAACTGGTTGCAGTACTTCAGCTGCAGTCTCACCAGTGCTGAGTAGAACGGAAGACTCACCTCATTGGTTTTGCTGGCGATGCATCAATTGATGCATGCCAGAGTATTATTTGCCCTGCTGGTACAGCATTGCACTGCCAGCTCATATTCATACTGTGGTCTATTATTACCTCGAGGTTTCTTTCATTCATGGTGCTAGTCAGTTTGGTGCTGCTAAGCCTGTAGGTGTGTTGGAGATTGTTCGTCCTGAGCTGGAGCATTTTACATTTCTCGACGTTGAACTTCATCAGATTCTGATCCACCTAAGTTGCTAGCTATACATGATACATGCCAGTTTAAGAATAGTTTAAGAGTAGGCAAAGATCAGAATCAAATTCTATTTCTTAAATTTTATCATTGTTTAAGCAAAACACAATGTCACATGTCCAATTTTTTACGTTCATTAACAAGAGTTATAGCACAACCTGATTTATCCAAAGTATTCAGAACATCCAAAATATGTGATAAACAGGGTGCTGGCTAACCAGGATCCTTACTGAATAAACAATTAATGCAACTGAACAGAATAGAATAAGAGATTCAAATAAGAAGGTGTTTGAGTTTTAACTGTTTGAATAAATGGATTTTACTCTTATGTGCATTTGTAATGGCAATTATCTTTGGATAATGACCTATTGGCAAGCAAGAAGAGAACACGCCTTTCTATTTTCTTTTCCTGCCTTATCATAGTGACTGCCTTAGCAGTACAAAGCTGTTTTGCTCATCATCACCCAGACACAAATAAAAACATTGAGTGGCGGTCACTGTCAGAGGTCTAAAAACCTGGCTTCTGTTTCTCTGCATGCTTGATAAAACTGCCACTTCCTGCAAAATAGACTTGTGTCAGCACAGCACAACATTGACTTTATTGTAAAGATGTTTGGCTCTGAGGAGGCGGGGGGGGGGAAACACTTTTCTGAATATGTCACTTTAGAAGTTCTTTGGAGTCACTATATTTGTAAGAATGAATTATGCGATCTAAGCAGGATTCTCAGTGAAGCTGGAACAAAAGGAGAGTGAAAGTTGTAGCAAATATTTTACCCTTAAGAAAAAGAAATGTTAAACTTTCACAGAAAACTGAATTTAAGGGTAATGTATTGGTGAGCACTTAAGTACAGTAACTGAAGTACTATTTAATGGTTACTTTATAGGAAGGCATCTTCAAGCTGTGCTCCTGGCATCATCAGGTTGTAAATTTGACTTAACTGGCACATAAAAGATCACCTCAGTGGAAAGGCTCTTCTGTCAGGGAGCTCTTAATGACTCAGCCTTCCTTCCCTGAAGTAGTAAGGGGAGTAATTGGGGGGAAAATCACACATTTGCAGGTGTGCTAGCATCATGGCAGCAGTCACTGTTGCACCTATGCTTCCTATTACCCCAAATCCCTGGCTGCCTTGTTACACCTTTGTGCAACTGTGTACCCAACTTCATGATAATCATTGTACCTGTTGCAGCTTCTTTCTTGACAGTGCAGAGACATGGCCATGCCCAAAATAGGACCAAGAAAAAGAATTAAGTCACAATTGCAATTTTCTTGCCACTGGACTTCTGCCGGACTAGTACTATTAACACTTTGGTCACCTTGTGCACAATATATTGTAAAACATATCCACAGCTAGGTAATCTATTTTTTTGTTCATAACAAACATTTATTACTACATATTATTTTTAAGTATAGTTGTATAATATTGTTGCTGTTACAAGACTAATAATGTAAATTACTACAAGTACTATCATTACTCATATAACATTAATACTAGCTAGATAAATTGCTAGTATGGGCTATCAGTCCAATTCTGAATGGTTAAAACTGACTGCATGTAACAGAGCCAAAAAAGCAGGTGGGCTGAGAATTCAGTCTGTGCTTCACTGATTGTGGGCTGTACAATAGGTTTGGCCAGTCTGCTATCTAACCTCTTCATTCCTGAGATGTACCTTTGACACATATGCAAACTCTGGAGAAAATGGCTTCACAAAATGCAGGCCAACCTAAAAAATATCAAAATTGTTAGACCAAAGCCTATTATAGCCTCTATGTTAATAAAGAGAGCAAGAATAATATAGTAAGGCTAGATTCTGATTTTAGATTCTGAAGAAAGGCCGGACTACTAACAGCAGCAACTCAGGCATAACCCTGGGAAACCTTGCAACTCAGAGACATTCCCCTGACTTACAGTCCCTCTTCAGTTTCCTCCATGGTCCCAGGGGCTAATTATTTGCTGCTGAGGGAGATAAGAGGGAATTTGTGATTTTAAAATATTTCCACAAATGGTTTTATTCTTTTGTGCAGACACAATAGAACGTTCAAAGTTTGGAGTTACATGTAAGCCTGTTTCCCCAACAGGGAGGCTAGGGACAGACATTACACACAAACCTGATTTAAACCTTTAACAGAACAGATGTTCAGTGCACATAAACCAGTTTCAAAGTGGCTGAAACTGGTTTAAGATAAACCTGGTTGAATGTAGTATTAGACTTAACTGATTTGGGTCAAACCAGTTTATGCAATGTCTGCCCCAGACCCTTTCTTGGTTTAAGTTAAACCAGAGTCCTCCAGCATCCCAGATACTTTGCAGCCCTGGGCTGGGCTGTGTTCTCTGCTCCAGAGGACAGGGCTGGCCCCGCCCCTCTGCTCCCTACCCAGAGCTCCAGTTAAGACTGCAGGCACAGCAGTGTCTGCCTGGCTTCCCTCTGCACCCCTCCCTTCATTGCTCAGACAGGGATCCCCCCACCTACCTCCCATCTCTCACAGCATGGACCCCAGCCCCATGGACCTTACACATGTGGTGTGCTAGCTAATGCTGAAAGAGGTGTGTGTGTATGCATGTGTGTGTGTCTAATTTCACTGGGCCAGGCAGACAGAACATTGTCTGCTTAGGGCATTTTGGAGCTAATCAGCAGGTCATCTGGTAATGTCCCTCCATTCCTTCTTTGGAAAAAGCTGTTAAAGAAGAACTTTAACTAATGAGAGATGCTTTTGTTTTCTTGATGGGCTGATAGACGCTGTGTTATCAGCTCCCTGCTGGCACCCTTACCTGTTAGGTTTGCAGGCAGTAAAGAAGTAGGGACAGGGAGATTGAAAAGCTCAGTATCATCAACAGATGCATGCATGGCATGCCCCCCACCCCCCTTTGTCTCAGTGTGCTAGCCAGGGGCTAGGGTGTGGCAACACTCTCATCCTTTGAGCAACAAACAGGGAAAAGCCTAGGATTGTGCAGGCAGGGTAGGGGTTTTAAATCCTTCCCTAATCAGAATGTCCTGCAGGGGCCTGGCCACACCCCACCTCAGCTCAGTACCGTACAAGGGAAGGGAGGGCTGCTCTAGCACTCCTCAGCGTCTAGCCTGAGCCACAGCAGGCATGTGCCTGAATTTCGTTTGTCCAGAGGGAATGTCTGAACAGTTGCAAACTGGTTCAACCTAGGCAGGTTAGAGTAACCTGCAAAGATTGAATCAATTCAGGCTCAGGCTTTTTGAATGTCTGTCCCTAGCTGGAAAGAACACACCTTCATATTTTCTTGCTCTGCGTTACCATTACTACACTGGCCGGCTGGTCAAAAGGGGAAGCCAAACCTTACCTCTTCTGGTGAGGGAG